GGAGTTTGCCAAGTTGCAGAGAGGAAAGAAAGGGCACTCCCAGTAGTGGAAACAGCCTGCACAAAGGCATGGAGGTGAAGGCCTGCGGAAGAATCAGAGGCATCAAGATATCGATAAGAAAGAAAATCTGAAGGAGAGGGAGAGAGAGTAGAGAACGAACAGCAAGGCACAGAGAAAAAGAGAAACTAACCACAGTGAGAAACAGAGGGAGACATAAAAACGAAGGCAGCAAATCAGAAGCACAGAGGATGCAGAAAAAGACCCAGACGTGGGGAGAGAGGGAGGTTAAGGGAGGGAATAGGAAGAAACAAAGACTTGTCAAGGAGAGCCAGAGCCACGCTGACTAGCAGGGCAGGAGGAACTGTAGCAGCAGAGACCACGGAGACGGAAAAGGCACACAGAGAAACAGCGAGACAGCGGAGAGAGGGGGTGCGGGACCTCTTCCCCGAGCAGGGGGTCAGGTGCGGAGGGGGCGCCAGGGGAATGAGCAGGCAGTTCTTTGTCCCCACGGGGCAGGGTGTCCCCGCCTGCTTGCTGTTCCTCCATCCCAGCGCACACGTGGGTCTTGCCGGGAGCGGCCCACGTGGTGTGTGCGCTGAGCCCACAGGGATCTGCACCGACCCACACCGCTCCATGCTCGTCCACAGAAGCGGTTACACACATTGGTGCCCGCAGCCCAGGAGCCCACAGGTTCAAGCTGGAAGGACTGGGATCATGTCTATGCAATACACCCAAATCTGTGCACACGCACCTGGAAAAAAACAGACCTACTCACTTCATATCCCATTAATTCCCAGGTACACTCACCCAGGAGCCCACAGGCTAGCACATTATCTGGACACGTGTGTATATAGACACACAGAGCCATGGGCAAACAGCTCCCCACACTTACACCCATGAACACAAAGGCACACACATCCTAGGACACACCACCCCAGGAGCAAACAGAAGACCCATGCCACAAACTCACGGCCACACTCCCCGGGAATTCCTCTCACGGCCACGCTCCCAGGAATTCCTCCCTCACAGCCACGCTCCCGGGAATTCCTCACTCCTGGCCACACTCCCCGGGAATCCCTCTCTCCCGCCCGCTCCCCGGGAATTCCGCACTCATGGCCACGCTCCCGGGGAATCCCTCTCTTACCGCCACACTCCCCCGGAATTCCTCTCTCAGCCCCGCTCCCTGGGAGTTCCCCACTCACGGCCACGCTCCCTGGGAATTCCTCACTCACGGCCACGCTCCCTGGGAATTCCTCACTCACGGCCACGCTCCCTGGGAATTCCTCACTCACGGCCACGCTCCCTGGGAATTCCTCACTCACGGCCACGCTCCCTGGGAATTCCTCACTCATGGCCACGCTCCCCGGGAATCCCTCTCTTACGGCCACACTCCCCAGGAATTCCTCTCTCAGCCACGCTCCCTGGGAATTCCTCACTCATGGCCACGCTCCCCGGGAATCCCTCTCTCACGGCCACGCTCCCCGGGAATTCCTCTCTCACGGCCACGCTCCCTGGGAATTCCTCACTCACGGCCACGCTCCCCGGGAATTCCTCTCTCATGGCCACGCTCCCCGGGGATTCCTTCCTCACGGCCACGCTCCCCGGGAATTCCTCCCTCACGGCCACGCTCCTCGGGAATTCCTCTCTCACGGCCACGCTCCTTGGGAATTCCCCACTCATGGCCACGCTCCTTGGGAATTCTTATTTATGCTCCCAAGTCATGAGCACACCCATGGGATCTCTCTGGCTTGTGAAAATTATACTGAATATCCCCATTTAATTAAAGTGTTATTACAACCAGAGGTGACTCGTGGATATGTGCATGACCTGATGTAAAATAAATTTCTTCATAGACTGCTGCAAATGAACTTCCCAGGTTGTGTCCATTGGTGGCGGGAGAGAAGGGAGGAGAGAAGAGTCTGAAATTTTTCTTCAGTGCCCAGGACTTTGATGCAGCCCCACCGCCCACCCAGCCCCGCACCCCGGGAAATGCAAATAGCACCCACACAGCCACATCTCCCCAGGAGCACATCCACACTCCATGTGGGCCTGACAGCCCACCCAGCCTGAGTGTCAGCCACACCATCCACCCGGCTTCAGAGTTCTGAACTGTAGATACTTTGGGAGTCTTGGGTTTCATCTGTGCAGCTCAGACACAAGCAAGGCTTCTGCCAAATGTGCTCACACCACAGAGGCAGGTCCAGGTGTGCATCCATGGTCACATTCCATGGTAACTGTTGACTCCAATCTGATCATGTCATGCCCAGGCCCAGCGCCCGCACAAAGGCCCTCTGACCGCAGTCTGGCCCCACTCCCACCCCTCACCCTCCGGCACACAGCAGAGGCTCAATAAACCACTAGCTGAACTCTGAGGTCTGTTTGTGTTTAATCAGACAATATACAAAGTATTTACAACCAATTCTAGATTCCCCCACCCCCAGAGCCTGGGCCATGGAATGTGGGACCCCCAGGCCCTGCCCAGAACTGGGGGTCTGCTAGGCCTCTGCATAGTCATCTGAAATCTACAAAACACTGTTTGTTTGTTTTTAAAAAAGGAGAGTATTAGGACACCTTATACAAAGGGCCTTGGGCAGTTAGAAGGGGATTTGAGAGCACGTTTGTGTAGGTGAGTCCAGATTTGGGACTGGGACAGACAGGAGAAGACTTGGGTAATCAACATGTATGAAAGGAAAAGTTGAAATTTCATAGGCAGGCACCCCTTGGCCTCCTTCCCCGCTGGCAGGGCCTGGCTGGCTCAAGAATCCCCGGCAGCAGGAA